AAAAAGTAGGATTTTTCAAACTGCAGATACAAGGCTGCTATAGGTTACTACTTCCTGTATCTCTCTTTTTGGTCAACACACGTCTTACTTGTACCAGGACGTATTAGTGTGGGTGTAATTTAGGGGGCTGGCTTCATTATGCACCCACCTCGGTTTGTTTGACCACTCTCCCTCTCATGTGAAAAGATTAATGGAACGGCTCAGACTGGCTCGGCTCGACTAAGCTAAATATTTAAGTGTTTGAGGTGCGTTCGGTTGCCTCCAGACCCCTCGGTGACGGTCTATACTTGAACCTGGTATGTGTTTCTCAGCCCACGCTGCAATCACACCCTCTGCATGTCAACTCCCCATTATGTTCTCATATAGAAATCACATCCACATAACTGCATCACATTTCATGCCATAGCCTCAGGGAAGCACAATATGAGCCAAAGACAGCTGACCAAGATATGTTTTTTTTTTGTTTTAGCTTTTTTGTGTGCACATGAATTACACAATGTAGACATTACCCCTTTACTTTATTGCTCACAGTGATGGATTACAAGGAACATACGCATGCTCAGACTAAACAAAGGAAGAAAGGATTGTTGATAAGTCTGGGAAAGATGTTCACTGTTTGTTCAAAGGTGCATTTAAGTGATGCTACATTAAAGGACTCAACATAAGACTCTCTAGAAACCTAGACAACCTAACCCTCCAGAATTACAACCCACCAAAGGCCAAAATAAGTTTTTAGAGTAACAATATAATTGTCAATTTGGAATAAGAAGCATTTATTAAAGTATGATTGGTGGATTATACATGCAAAACACACAGTGATTATCAATTCTGCACAAATGGTTCCGTAGAAATCCTGATACAAAAAGTAAAAGTCAAATCAGATGTTAGTGTCAGTGATTTTCCTCATTTAACAGCTCATAGTTTGTATTCCATGAAGTCCCTCAAAGCTGTTTGGTGTCACACCAAACAGTGATTGCCTATATATGATAAATACCAGTCTGTATGCAGGTTTGTGTAAACATCTGGATTTCAAGTGTTTATTTCTGCAAGGAGCAGATGGGGTGATGATGTGAACATGTGCATAACAACAGAGGAAGTTGATCATCCAGGATGACCTTCACAATAGAGGAACACCTGGAAACAATCATTTAATAGCAATTGGCTGATCGAGACATTCAAGAGAAAATATGACTGCCGTGAATTTGCCGTCGTCGTGCTTTTGCTCCAAGAAAAGCAAAAATAGTGAGATGAAAAATCAACCTGTGGAATACCAACACAATTAAAAACTGACACGATTATGATGAGGGTTTAACAGCTGAAACAATAATGTTCCACACCATCAGCGCTCATGCTTTGATAGGTCAATCACACCATCAATGAAATGTGATGTTACGTGGGAATCAGCAGTCAGCAGAAAGTTAACACTGGGAAGAGGCCGTGGACAAATATTGATGCCAATAACAAGCTAATTACAAAATATACTCTTATTATTCTTTCTTTTAGCTGTGATTGACAGCTGCAACAAGTCATATAAGGAAAAATAATGTCTACTGATGCCAAGCATCTCTAGTCATAGGCATAGTACTGGTTAAAGACGTTATCGTCAGTCAGGGAATGGAAAACAAATGTTGCTGTACAACAACACTAGCTCCATCTGCTGGTCATGAATAGTCATAAATACAAAGTACAGTGTGAACAAATGACAGCACCATTTTCTTTTGGTCTGCACATTCAAACCTTTTCTCATTTTAATAAAATCAAAACGGCGAGAAGCTGAACGACATTTCTTTAAAAAATATTTAGTATTGTAGCTTTTAATATAAAACTGAGTAATACGTGTATTTAGTCCCAAACGTAAGTTAGATGTATAAATTAAATGAAAATAAGATGCCTGTATTAGGCATTCTTTGAGACTGTTGTGTAAAGGTGTATCTCCCATACCTCAAAGGGAACCATCTTATAAATCAGAAACACATGTTAAACACTTACAAACTTCCTCTTTGCTAAACATCACACAATTAAAAAAATGAATACAGAACTCTATTAATACATTGGTTAAGCCTGAATGTAGTTCATCTATATGATAGTTATTACTGTATAATTAATGATTGCTCTGCATTGATATATAGATTTACAGAGCCTATTAAAACCTGCTGTACAGACACAGTATGATATATATCCCTTTTCATGGATGGCTTCATAATCAGGATGAAGCCTTTCCAATAACCCCAAACTGTAGATTGTAGAAAAATGTGAATTGTGACTTTACTTTATGGTCCTATAGCGGATTAATTCAGACAGCTAGATACATAAGACGCCACACTCTATAATAGATGGAGAAACATCAAACAAGAGGAAAAGCTGCGTAAATATTTACAGCATAGCACACAGACATTCATTTTTTAGTATATTTCATCCCACTGGCAATAACACAGACTGTTGCGCGTGGTTGCTCAACGTGAGTCACCGCTCTGATCCAGCTATTTGTCCTCCTCCAGACTGAAACAGACACGATACATTACTGAAAGCACAATTCAGAAATCCGCTTAGCTGTCCATGCAAAATACGTTTTGTATGCTTGTTGCTGTATTGTGTAAATGACAAGCCATGAGGGTATGGTATCAGTGTAATTGGTGATTGGGAAGCATTTAGTGGCTTTAGGTTTGGATAATATAGACACGAAACAAAATCAGAATGTATGTGTGATGTGTGTATGTGTAAACAAAAATAATTGTTAAGGGGAAAAAAAACGGGATTTCTGTTGGCTTTCTCACAATTTTCCCCCAGGATGTTCCTGTAATGAACATTCACTGAATTATGTATTGTGATGCATTTCATTTTTTAAATTTCCCCAAACACCTACACATTGTGGAAGCTGTGCTTTGTTTCTACGTTAGGCGAAAATGAGGATTGAAAACCCATGAATAGTTTGTCCTGCAGGCGTGTCTGAGGGATCAGATTGAGCTTTGTGTGGTTTGCAGAATATCCCTTTTTTTGCAACACCAAACTAACAGCAGCGACAAAACAGCCCGATGTAAACCGCGCCATTCAATGTAAATACAGGGCATGTTTAGAATAACAGTAAGCTGAAATTCTTCGTGAATATGGATGCAATATAGACCCCAGGGAAACTAAATGTCTTTTAAAATGAAGTGGACTACCTGTTACCTAAATATAATTTAGTTACATTAGATTTATAAGTCAAATTAAATTACTTAGTAAACTTCCCCACCCCTAAAATTAAACCAAAACACAATATTTTAAGTGATTAGACATGAAGATGTTATGTCACTGCCCTCTATAGTTTGATCCTAGCCTTTAAATTTAAGGGTAAGAACACCTTAATATATCCTTATTAGCAAGCTGGGTCTGCAGACAAACGATCCAGGAATGTAAGTTGCATTAATATAGAAATGACACCAGAGGGCGATAGCAGCACACCTATAAACGAGTACATCCGCAAATTCTTCTTGAATCAGAATAAGCCTAGTTTACATCCCAGAATATCTGTCTCGATGTTGTTCTCATTGCACATACGCAGAAATAGAGTCCACTGTCATCTCCACCGTTTTAAGAGCAGTCAGCTCCATGTTGTTCTGACCACCGTCATATCCTTCAGGTGGGCCAACACCAGCCCCTCACAGGTTTAATGACCACAGTGATGGCCTTTTTGTAACCTACTAAACTATGACTTTCTATAAAAATTATTATTGTCATCACTTTGTAAGTGTAAAACACATCAGTGCCTAATACTTAAGTTTTGCTTCAAATGCTTTATCTTAAAGTGGTGAGGTGGTTGAAATTGTACTTTTTTCTGTGGCTAAGAGTAGACTTGTATTCTCTAACAAATTCTTTACCTATGCCTTTTTTTAGACTTTTTTCACGTACTATAGTATGACTTTTTCGACATGCTATACTATGACTTAATTTAAATTTTTCAACATCCTATTCCATTACTTTTTCACATATACTATTTTTTAAAATGACTTTTATCGACATCCTATACTATGATTTGCTTAACTTTTCTCCCCTTCCTCGCAGACACAAAACGAGTTGGATCATATAAAACCGTAAACATGATGACTTTATATTCCTGCATGTCATGGAACACCAGGTTTGAGTGTTTCAAGCATCTTCATGCTTTATCAAGCAACCTCCCAAGCCTTACAAAATCAATGGCAGGCTGGAGGGCTCACATTAGCTAACAAGAATCATCTTGCCCATACTGTGGAATCTTATAAACAAGGTTTTATCTTTCACTTCAGGGTTATTTATGGAGAATAATACACTCCCGAGTGAGAGTTTGTTAAACGGAGGACGTGGCTGGAACTCTTAAAGCAGCTCCCGCAGTATAAATTCATGAGTCTACTTGAAGGTCAGATTTCAACGCTTGCTCGGCCTGTTGTGGAAGCAGAATGTGAATAAACTTGCCTCAAGAGTTTGAAAACAATGCAGCCTTCTGTGGCGACGGACTCACGGAGATGAAACAAAAACAGTCGAGTCGTGTTTAAAGATTACCTGCTTTCTCTTTTATTGAAAAATATAGCTGTTATTTCAGAGAAAGGAGAGTGAGGAAGGTAAATATATTAATATACTGTAAAACCAGAATAAGCAGAAGGAAAAGAAAACAGTACATACTTGGCATAACACTACAGCCACTGAATGGAAAAAGAAAACATTCAACAGCAGAACTCTGAGACACCTTTTTCACAGTCCAACCCACAGCTGTCTGGGCACAGACAACTTTAAAGCGGACTTGGGGCAGAGAGTATCAGCAAATGCCTTTATAATGGTTCATTCTGGCCTTTCCTTCAAAGAAACACCAGAAATGTCAAAAGGTTAACGCAATCACCAGAAAGTATTTCAGCGTAGTTTAGAATACTTTCCCACGATGCTCTGTTTGCCTCTTCCAAATTTACTTGTGAATACAATTTGGCCGTGAATGTTCCGTTTAGTGTTAAAGCCACTAGCATTCTTCTAGTTCTCACGCTGGTACCACAGAGTCACACTGCTGATAACAAAGACTGTAATCATCGATGGCACAAATTATATTTACATTACTAGATTATAACAATGGCAGATAAGGAGTGTTGTTTTTTTTCTCAGGTTGTCCATTTCTTGGTGAGGAACATGAAGGGTTGAAGCTGCCCAAACAATCAACCAACCACACGCTTCACAATGGATCAATAGAAGTGAAAGACAGTCAAATTTACATTAAAATATAAAAGAGTTCTGACTCGAATCATACTGTATATCTACACATAAGTAAAAAAACAAACGAGAAACTTAAACAAAATCAAACATCCTGCTCACGTTACCCAACAATATAGTTACAACATACTTGGCAATTTCCTCCAGATCTCTTACAAACAATGTCAGAACTTCTTGTTCATGAAGATGTTTTTTCCCAAAAACATTTCAGTAACCTCGAGGCAAAATGGCACAGCATCCTGATTCTATCTACACACAGGAAATGCAAAGGTCCCAGTTGTCAGACATGGCAATTAGTTTTCTAACACCAAATAATACCAAAAAAAAAAAATAAAAAAGTCAGACATTAATCATGGATACCAGAAAGAGCACTCCTCTGCGTGCCTTCTTTAGAACTGAAAGTGACCTGGAGGAGCCTGCTGAGTCAGCGTGTATTAGAAGACACAAGAAAGCCAAAGACTAAACAGTCCACCTGGCTGTTCCTGACCCTGCTGTTTCTGGAGCAGTTCCAGCTGGTTGGGGGCCAATAATCCAGCACATGTAATGAGTAGACGGGGAAAGGCCAGATGATGGGTTGATTTAATCATCCGTTACCTACTGTGTGATTTGGGTTGTGTAGAGGAGGCGAACGGTACCACTTGTGGGGCCAGTTGGGGAAATATCTGCCACTCTCAGTCTCACCGCCCCGGGAAACACCTGATGCCCATCTTTCAAGTAGCTGCGCTCTAATAACACTTTGTACATGTTTTCACATCCTCTGCCTTTAGAGACAAGCCTGAGCTCATGTCTAGAGAAAGAGGATACATCTGCTGGATAGAGCCAAAGCTATTCATTGATAGAACAAGTTTTCATACTGCAACAACTCCCTTTCAAACTTTGTATATGCCTTTCTGCTGACCTGCTGTCCTACCAACCTCAGTGCTGATGTGGAACGAAATGTGATGACTCAGAAATACACATAATCAGCCACAATCACCACTTCTGTCCTGTTTCAATGAATACAGGACACAGAACACATACATAAGGCCTTCTTTTGCAAATTAAAATAGACCTTCACTAGCAGCGGACGATTTTTGTAAAACAGAAGTCATTGTCATCCGATACAGCTTTACCATGACAGTGGTTGCAGGAGTGATAGAACATTTGATGTCTACTTGAGTAATTAAGTGCCATGTAGTCAACTTCTACAGAAAGAAGCTGGCTCACTCTGTAGTACCATTAAGACGTTTTTGTAAGAAATGTCAGAAACCCCCTCCCAAAGACTAAACTTTAAAGATCTAGCAGTGCACATTGAGAATAATCCATCCCTTTTCAAAATGTATGAAAAACTAACACAGCTCTCTGTGAATTTACAAAATGAAGACAGCGGCAAAATGATAAACTACCAAACTCAAATACAACAGGCTACTGTAGAGCGACTTCCAGATACTCTATGTACATAACATGAAGTAAAGCTAAATAACAGAAATCACCCCTTTGAGTCTGATGGGGACAAAAGTAAAATCTACTTTATCTATTTAGTGTCAATAAGACTCCATGATCACTCACACACACACACACACACTCGGGGAATTCAACGCTATCCGAGTTTCCCCTCTCGTCCTCTTCCTGGTTCAGAATCTGTGGTGCACATCCACATCTGGTTTGTGACCTCGCGTGTCTCTTACCATCACACTCCAAACATGATATCCGTGTGACTGACAAATGGGGGTATGGCTCTCCAACCCTATGGTCATGATGATTTGTAATGCGGACAAATTTGAAGGACAAAGGTTTGAACACGAGAGTGTCGGTCTTTTTGGGAATTGAAGAATTCCCCGATCATGAGTTCAGAGTTTGACATTGCAAAAATGTGCAACAATCGACGAACTCGAACCTTTATGAAGTCATTGTGTGAGCCAGTCTGTATGCACTCGGGTCATACCTCCTAATACAGCACAGTGAATAAGGCTGTATTGGTTTATGATGTTGAACGAAGTGTGCAGAGATACGATTGATCTACAAGCAGCTTAAAGCAGATGTGGCCCTGCCTCTAAATCCCTCCCATCTTTTCCAGCTTAGTCCTCTCAATTAGTGTCCTCTGAGACAATGAAACCAGTCTACACTCGAATCTCATCGTCGTCCTCATCGTCCATGTAGGTGAACTCTCTGTCTTCCTCCCCACGGGGCGAACTGTACTTTGCACTGTCCGTGTCGGCGTCGTGGAGTTGGTACTGAGGTTTCTCCTCAGTGACCGAGCCGGCGCTGGACACGGAGTAGCTGTCCAGGTTGTGGTGGTTGTTCCTGGTGGGTAGCTCTGGGGTGTAGGGATCCACCGTGGGCTTCTGCTGGTACATGCTGCGAGGTGGCCTTGCAGGGGCCTGCTCCTCCACTTCATCATATATGTGAGGAATGAGGGAGGGTGATGCGTGGCCCTCGCTACCTTTCCCCTCTTCGTAGCCGAGGTCGTCCTCCTCCCAGCCTTTCTTTTCCATCACGCTCAAGATGTCCCCGAGCATGGAGGGCCCCAAGTCGATGTGGAAGGACATCATAGACTCTGCGTGCTTCATGCCGCCTCCCTTAGGCATGGATGGGGGCAAATCTGTAAGTTCGCCAAAATTACGCTCTTCAAACTCCACATCCAATGTCGCCATCGCCGCAGCTCCATTTACCGGCTTGCTTTCAATCTCCGACAGCCTCTTCATGGGGCTCGAGGACACGCTCTTTGGCAGTTTGCTGCCTCTGTTTGTATCTTCTTCGTTTAGGTAAGGCAGGGATATGGCGTTTTTCACAAAGGCGGATGAGCCACCAGAGGACGCCATCATATTGTAGTCATACTTGTCCCCCCGGTTTACTGACTGGGAGCGCTTGCTGCTTCTGAAGGTGCGGGACAGCAGCCCTGGTTTGGTGACCGGGGAGCCGTGCTTTGTTGCCTGCTTTGGTTCCGGCTCCCTGGGAGGTTCCCCTGATCGGGTGCTAAGAAACGTAGTGTCCCCAAAGGCATCGCCTCCCCTGCCAACGTGCATGGTGTGGCGGAAGTCCCCCAATGGAGAGCTGATCATCTCCGAGGTGAGGTCGGCCCGAGACCGCCGCTTCGACTGCTTAGAGTTGTTCACCAGCTGCTTGAGTATAGGCATGATGGCAGTCTCTGACTTCAACAGAGAGAAATTAAACTAGGGTTCTGTAGGAGTTCAGGAGAGTTCCTTCCAAAAAGATGTTGGCAGTTGTACGAGATGTCAAAGAAAGTGTAATTCCAGGTGTTTAATGTGAGCAGCCATTCTGGTCCTCCAGCTCGGGTTTCATCTCTACCTTTGGATCAGCCTGTGAAGAAGAACAGAGAGCATTAAAACCACATCAGTACTTATGTCCTTGGCAGGCAATGTGGAAACATGCAATTAATAACAGACACCATTTCATTCTGCTGCAAAAGTACCCAACCACTTCAAATGCTTCACTAAAGAGCTGTGCCTATTCATTTCTCATCCCCCATTATCACATTACTCACCCCGTCCTGATCTGCATCGAGTACGGAAACTTTTGTTGCCAGAGCTTTACAATGAAGCCTCACTTGAGTGGTACTAAACTCAAAGGTTTTTATACATTCAGAGGTCTGAGGGTGTTATGCAACGGTGAATAAAAGCTTTCTGGTGCAAAGTCCCCAGCACCTTCATAAAACCAACAGTAATGACACCCTGAGTGAAGCCTACCAAGGCAAAATAAGTTCCCATTCAAATGTGTCGGTACAATTCTTCTGCTACATTTTTTTTGGCTCCCCCTAAAAACTCTAATAGGCTGCTGTCACATTCGCTTCTTCAAGTGGCTGCAGTGTCCGCTGCCTCTGCTGTGCTTTAGTTCCCATTTAGGCCCCTGACTGTTACATAACCAGCAAGACACAGGATACAGGGAGCCGGGGCAGTTCAAGCTGGCACAACAACTAAAAAAATAATGAAGTGGAGCAGCACTTCTTTAGCGTTACAGCACAGCTCAGAAAGTTCATAACTGCTACATTCTGTTCTAACCTTCCCATCATCGAGAGACAAAATGTTTCCATTGCTGCCTCTTTGTGTTGTTCTCAGTTTGGCCTTTTGTCTCTTGAGCCTTGAAGGCAGTTCGAGAGCCTCCAACAGAATATTTTGTTCCGCCCGTCACCGCTTCATTACGACAGTTTTTCACTAAACCTACATGAACGGCACAATTTGACCTACGTGTGTGTCTATCTTATCTACTTGGATATGACCAAGTCATTAATTAAAGTTATTTTCCTCATATGAGGAAAGCAGGCTGCTCTTGGTTTACTGCAGCTCACCTCGATCCTGTACTTGCACCGATTTTCTTTGACTCAATAAGCAGATAACAGCGCTCCTTTCATAGACCAAACTGTCCTCGCGTCACCAGCCCTGAAACATGACCTTAAATCAGAATCACACGGAGAGAAATGTTTAAAAACACCCACTTCTGTGCTAGCTACAGTCCACTAGCTCCATGCATTAATGGCATTAACAAAGGTTTCAATTGTTTTAGCCAGACAGCTGTCCCATCATTCTCAAACTGGAGCTAAAGCCCACGCTCCAGGCCTGTATGCGTATCCCCACAGTGAATGAATGGGGGCTTCACTCAACAATATTCAACAACGTCATCCATGAAAACATTTGCATCTCTAACAATAAGCCATTCAACTGAAAAGGCAACTGTGTAGCACTAGAGGGAACAGAGGCAGGTTTCATGGATGATAAAAGCGTGTGCTGGGTTTGTTTTTTGTTCGCTGCTCTTTCAAAAACAGAGAGATCATCTCCAAAGAGAACTGAACTCTATCCACTGCCGGAGGTTTTATCCTCATTATTCAACAACTTCATTCAAGATTTCTTCTGTTGTTCTGGTGCTGTTAATGGCGGAGATGCACTGTGCCCACAACAACAAAGAAGATGGCACAAAAGACGGGCAAACAAAGAGCAACGGCATTGACAAATAACACTTGAAAAGCTCATGTTCAACTTCTACTTAAAAGACATTTGAGTTCAGTTCACACCCTTATACTAACAACTGGAGTAGGCTTACTGTTGGGCCGGCTATTTAAACAGCAACTGGATGCCAAACTATCAGAACATAGGGTGGAGCAAACAAATACCCACAAAGTCGACACAGTCGTAATGCAGTACGATCTATTATTAGCTAAACCGCTTATTGCTTCACGCCTTGAGCAGTAGCCAATTACCATCCGCTGCACAAAAAGGCTGCCGAATGTGCGACTGACCAGTCAAGACAACTCAAACTGATGTGTCCCTCCCCGCTGCCCAGAGTTTTGCATTTCTCTATGGCAACATCCGAGCAGAGCTTCCTGTCTGTAAGCCGGCTGGAGACTGAGAGAGAGATTTGATCCCCTACATGGAGAGATCAGCTCATTCAGATGGCTGGATTAACCCCTTCCTGGAGGCCACATGCAGGGCAATAAGACAATCCCCCACAGTGCTATAGCTGAAGGGGAATGCCTTTGATGTGCCTCTTCACTCCCAAGACATTCAACCTCTGCATAAAATATGTCGGTGGGTGCTCAAATATCAAAAAGGTGCAAACCCCACACCTTTAGTCCTTCCAGGAAATGGCCCATTTAATGTCCATCTGGGCCCCTTGGTGTTTGATGAGGAATAGTTCAACCCCCCCCCCCCAGGATCACCAAGACCCCATTATTGTGGGCATGACAAAAGATGAAGTACGGCCTGCAGGCAGTCCTGTCATATTCAGTTGCAGCCTTTCAGATACATCATGGAGAATGGCAGTGTTATGAATACTAAAAGCCCTTTAATATATATATCAAATATATCAAATATATTTAATATATCAAATCGAAGCTGTTAAATGTCATAAACATATTTTTTCAGTAAGTCTATCCATGCTTTCTCCGAATCAGTGTTAGGCATCGAGTCAAACTTAAGCCTGATTTTAGAGAAAAATAACCATTTTGGGGCTCTTTTTTTTTTGGGTTTGGAAAACGTGTAATTTACTCATTTGTAGAACCATCAGGCAGAGCGGAATATATTTTTGGTTCCAATGACTTTCCATCTATATGTGACAATCTAATACCTCAATCTTTTTGGACTTCAGGTACTTTCATTATCACAGATTTTCTCATTTCATTTCAGACCTGAGACCGAGTAGACTATTCCACTAGTTTAGCAGGCGGGTGAAGCATGGATTGGAATTAATGTTCTAAGTTATTTCACTTCAGTGCCTGGACAGAAACGTAGTACATAGCTCTGTGTTGACTCATACTACTAGGACATTGCTTTCAATATACACAGAAACATGCACACACAGCTACAAATGTCCCATGTTAGAGCAGCAGGATGCCCAAAGACGCATTGGGTATTATCTTGTTCGTTTTAGTTTAGAATGATTGCCTCAGCCGCCGACGAAGCCCTTATGTAACCGAACACTCCAAGTGTCACATGACTCCAGCTCAAACTGAGACAAGCGGGCGACAGGGCCATGAATGATTAAGAGCATCCTATGTCGCCGGGCGGACTCAGACAGGAGCAGGGTGACATCATAACGACCACCAGTGCTCATCAGCGTTCATCCTCACTCTTGTAATCCCGTGGATCACAGGCGCCACACAGTCCTCGGCTATCCCGCCGCCACCGTGTCTCTCTCCCTCTCCTTCCACCCTATGAAGTGGGGAAAGAGGCTTCGGCTGCTTATCCCGTCACAGCTCGACTGCTGTCTCGTTAAAGCCACAGTCGTCGTACACACTGACTGCGATCGCTTCTGGTGTTTATTTTTGACTGCGCTTTAAATTCTTAAAATAGAGACAGAACGAGGATCTATCATTTATTCACAAGGTGGAAGCCTCCATGCGAGAGTAAAGTGTAATCACACAACAGTGATGGGAGCCCGGCTATTGTCTGACAGGTTTCTTTCATATCTATAGAATATATAAAAATAGGAATACAAGCAAGATAAGCTTCTCCTACTGGGAAAGCATATAAAGACAATGGTGGGTTTATCAGTTACCCAACAAGTTCATCAATAGCAGAATAATCGTGTCATATGAAGTCATTAAACATGCTGCGATGTTTCCATATCCAATTCCAGAGATGTGTTTGGACATTAACATTGAGGAAACTGTGGTCAACAACACTTCCACTGGTAAACAAATGCAGAAAAAGAACATAGTCAAGGAAAATGTTTGGTAGGAATGCAACATGTTTTTCAAAGTTTGAATATTTTCTAGTCCAACCTCCAGTCCTCATGTTTAAGTTCAACACGGAGACATTTCTGCTTTGTTTAACCTTGAATCTGCTCCATTGTTCAACCCTATTGTCAGCAATATTGATATGCAAATGAATATATGAGTCAGCCTACGCCATCTATGACATTGCTCATCGATCAATCAATGGCGCTGCATAAGAATGGAAAGTTCTCAACTCTGACAAAGAAGGTCGGCCGAACTTCATTTGCAGCTTCTTTGTGAGGGCCACAGCCTCCGGCCCAAACATGGGATTCCCACGGGGGGAGAAGACGGCGACACACTGAAACAACATGGACCCTGCCTGATGCACACAACAAGCTGCATTTAGGTTGAGATAGAGATATAATAATAAACAGTTTTATTTGTATTTTAATAATCTTACTTAATGTTTCTATGAGTTCCATTTTTGTCGTCTAAACACAAAAACTGTTGAAGTGAAATGAAGGAACTCGGAGACCTCATCAACTATGTATGAATCCACCTCACATCATGTTGCTGTTGCCTTTGTGCGAGCTCATTAGCAAAGCCTCCCTCTCAAGCAAAGTGTTTCTCAAAGTTTCCTGCAGTCCGACAGCTACTTATTGTCCTTAACTCACCGCACAGACAGCGGACGCAGAAACACTGCGTGCAAAACCCAGCCTTCCTTCGCTTTACAACATACCTGAAAAGTGACGCAGAAGGTCTAAAAGTATGTGTGACTGATACACAAAGATTAGTAACTTTTGATGTGATGACCTGTTAGCGACACATCTTTTGTCCTTACCGCAGGCTACAATATGAACCCGTTCTTCCTGTCCAACGTCATACCTACTCAAACAGCTCAAAGGCCAACCCAGTATGACAAACAGCAGAAACATCTTGAGCAGAGACGGACCAGAGGACTGTTGAGAACAGGTGTATGATCCCACGGTAAACACATCCTGTGCAGGTCATCTACATGGAGAGCTCTGTACTCACTTATTCAACACTCTGAGAGGAAACAGTGAGCATTAACTGTGATGGTTATTGCTGCTCCTGTACTGATCTAATGCGAAAAAAACACAACTTACTGTTCATAATTGGAAATCTTGTGTCCATTTACTGGCTGTTTCCGGACTCTTCAACCACAACTCACAGTCCTCCTCAGCAGTGTACCATCTTTAATCAATTATTAATATATCGTCTGACTATATTCTACTGAGGAGGATGTGTGTTGTGATTTTAAGTTAAAGACAAAACTTCTTGAGTGAAGTCATTTTGTCAACTTCTTTAATAAAAGGCCTTTATGCTCTGAGAGGCAGACATGAGAGCATGCTCATTACACATTAAAGATTAACAGAACGGTTTTGGTGAGAAAGCTTGAGTTTAAACAAAACTTTACTTGATTAAAAATTAAGGAAATCTTCTGAGGGCCCATTGAATTCAATTACTTGTCCTTACATAACACTGCGCTATTAAATGGAACTATGCATCCTAAAACGTTACGCCGTTAGAGGAAAACGTGTTCTGAATAATATGCAACAATACTTAAAGGCACATGTGGAAAGATAAAGTTTGTATCATGTGGGAGTCGCCCACTTTATGTCACATTATTACCTGCCAAGCGTCCTGCTAGCAGGTTCTAGTCACGATGGAAAAGTGCATCACGGCCTTCGTATAATATCACCAGCTATATGAATATTCTTATAAGGCAACGGTTTACATAATTAGATTTAAAGACTGTAGTGATATAGCTGCTCATACGACGGGCTGGACCTGAGAGGAGAGGAAAGATGTTGGGAAATGTTTCGTGCTTTATCTGCAGAAGACTGACACGATAGTGAACACTCATGTTTATGTAGAAACACTTTGAGAGATATGTTCGGGAAAATATACTGACATCAGCAGGATTGTTGCCCAAAGTACTATGCGCCCTCTGTACGCGTGTTGGCCGCCAGGGCCCCTAATGCTGCCCGGGCAGAAACAAAACCACGGGAGGATTAAGGGCAGTGTGCTCGACGAGAGCAAATAAAACCAGCGTGCCTGAGCCGGCCCTCTGCTCTGTGTGACACGAGCTCAGGACGGCAAACTCCACACCTCCGTCAGCGTCTAGAGAAACAAAACACACAAACAAACCGACCCCCCGCTGCCCCACCAGCCAGCGCTACGCTGTGAGACTCCAAAATCCATCTTCTATCACATTTGGTGTGTTGCACAAAGCTCCCGTCATGACCCCAGCACACTCAATAACACAATCACCACGGGACTGGGTTGAGTGATTTATTTTCTTTATCTCTACAAATCCTGATATCCAGAAGCAGAGGACGGGCCTCCGAACAACCGCTCTGTGTTTCCAGTCAAGCTGGCCTTTTATAAAAGCGTTCCTCCGGCACAGTTAGGGTCAGATACTGGGTGCGCTGCAGCCACAGAGGGGAAAGAGGAACCTTGGCTGAAAAACAAGCCGATAGATATGAACATGTTTCTTGATTATGTAATAAGCTATTGGGAAGTATGAATAATATCCTGAGTAAAAATGTGAAGGGACACAATCTCACCGACGTGGAGCAACAATACCACAGGGATGTTTGGGCACTGGAGAGAAACACACCCTCAAAGGGGTGTCACCACATTGGATTCACTCAGTCATGCCCGCACAGTGACAGACGTTCTGTCTCCGTGTCCCTCATTAAGCCTACAGTGGAGGGATTGTACTACACTGTGTGTGTGTGTGTGTGTGTGTGTGTGTGTGTGTGTGTGTGTGTGTTTGAGAGCGTGCACACGTCTAATTAATAGCTGAAACCCGCCCCATCGGTCTGCGACAAATAGACAGCAAATAGACGCCTGGTACCAGAGTGCAGGATCTCAGCCAAGTGGTTGAATCGTCCGTCCAATCGCTGTTGGACGACATAACAAAGCAGAATTTCTACTGAGGGTTGTGCTAAAAAAGACAGGGAGGGAATGCAAAATGCTCCGGTACAGCGGGGACGCCAAAGCCACAGTTGGCTCGCACAATAGTTAATGAGTTCAAATAGTTTACTGGCAATATTGGCGGTTATTTTTTCCAAAGGAAAGAGGGTCAGAAGCACTAACGAGTAGCTCAGAATGAGACCTTTGGGGAACAAAATCACCAAAAAAAGATAAGCCAGTGGGACAATCTTTTATACTCTACAGAAACAGGACACGTGCAAACCTTGGTGAAACCAGCAGGAGTTCTCTCGGTGTAACTGGAAGATAAGTGACCATTTTCTGTACTGTGTCAACTTCTAAACAGGTTTTATTTTCCCACTGAAGTCAGGCCTCAGGGAACAAGCCCCGATGACAAGACGAGTTAACAAACCTCCCACAAGACGAGTTAACAAACCTCCCACAAGACGAGCTAACAAACCTCCCACAAGACGAGCTAACAAACCTCCCAGGGTGTTAACTTTAAATGTGACCCACTCGCAGACAAAAGAGAACACGCAAGTCCACAAACTTCCGCCCTGATAATAGCTACTCGCAACAGCAGTCGACAAGCTAGAAAACAACAGAACAGGACGGAGATAAAGACTGGAGCGTCTGACCTTGTAAAAGCACATAGTTAACGTAATTGTGCCCTTGATTGATTTACCTACATCCACTGTGATCTGGTTAGTGCTGTGTGTGAGGGGGCCATGCTTGCTGCGAGTGTCTGTGTGCGTGCACACAGACACTCACACAGGCTGTGTGAAATGGTTCCTGCTAAAGTGACTCTTCGGGAAGCTAAGCACACATGGACTGATTACATTTCAGCAGCTCAGCTGTGAGTCACAGTTGATCTGTGTGCGTGCTATAATCTAATATGGACTAAATATGTGCAAGGCAGCTAAATTCACGTAATTTTAAGTTGAATAAGCCGTCAGTCTATTACTCACTAATTATGGTTTTCATAATCTTTTGGAATCGAGTAAATGTTGCTGTTAATAAAGTAAAAATATCAAACATTTCCAGCTTGTCAAGCGTGAGGAATTGCTGATTTTATATAATTATAAATGTGGGTGTTGGAGCATGGATCGGACAAAACCAGCAATTTGAAGATGAGCACCAGGGTTCAGTATTTTGAGAGCAAGAGTAATTAAAGTTAAAGGAAACAATCATTAGTTGTAACCATAGAAAGTAAAATGCCAAAGGCATGGAACGCAGATCACATTTCACAAGAGAAAAGCCACAATTGATCAACATTTAATATGTGGTTCCTTGTATATCTGGCCGCCAGATGATAGAAGTGCAACATTCTTAGAGCTTTCTGGAAAAACCACCTAATTATGTCAGGAATGTCTTTGAGGCATCATCTTTCTTTTATTTGGTTTTCTAAAAAGATAGCGTTTCACATCCGACATGCTACTTTAATTTGGCAATCAAGCAACAATTTGTTTTTCCTGGAAACATATGTCTGCGAGCATAAAGTTTTCATTAGGGAAGCGCATACAGGTGGCCTGTTGTGGCTGCGTTTACATGCATTCTACGTGTGTGTGTGTGTGTATAATCGTTAAGTGTAAGATTAAAGTCTGTCAACGGCTCCTGCTCAAACTGCTGTAAATAGGTTCAAGGGTCTTCTGGGAGGTTTGAGTCACAAACACAGGACTCAAAAAAACACACACACACACACACACACACACACACACACA